CTTTAATAAAATCATTGCATCACATTTCCAGTTTTGGAAAACAAGCTGGTTCATTACATTCTTTTTGACAAAGTATAATCCAATTTAGCAACTGATATGGAACTCTAAAATACAAGCGTATAAAAATTTTGGAAGTTCTTGACGGTTTGACCTACCTTCTCAACTAATATTGCCATGGTCCAGAAGGTATAAAAGAGTTTTCCAGACTATTCTTACTAATCTGTTCTGTTGCCACATCAGAAAAAAATCTAGAAGCAAGCTGCCATTTCTGATGGTACTTTGCTCTTTGTAGCAGAGAAACCGGATTATACTCAACAAATTCCTATAACTTTAACCCTAAACTGTCTACTCTTGACCTCAACCCATTCCTAAAAGGTCTGTAAGGGGCGTGCACAAGCGCACCACTGTGCCTACCGTCCCTGTCCTGCTGTCCCCGTTTATTTGTACCCATTTCATTCATACTCATGTTTATTCTTATACCTATTATTTTGTAAATGATTGACAAATAAAATAAATAGCAAACAGGTTTGAATGAAGTTGCATACATCCAGAAGGGACTTCAAAATTCTTGATTCCATTTACATTCCCTTTTTCTTGCAAGCGTGCATATCTTATAATGTAAATACACTGTGGAAGTTAGTTTTTGTAACTGTACAAAATGTATCTTCCACAATTATACACAGTGCCTAGTTGTTTGCTATCCACCAAACAACTATCTGTATTTCCCAACTAGAGCCTGCTTGCTAGCTCAGTGTCTTTCTCCCTGTATCCACAGCAAAGACTTTTGCCACCTCAGTCTCTCATTCCCAATGTTTACTGTCACTGAGTTCCACTAATGTCACACACTTCCTCCAGGGCAGGGTTGTCAAACTCCCGGCCCATAGGCCACACCCACACCTGGTTTAGCAAAGGAGTGGAAAGTCCCAATACGTCACATAATGCCACCATGACGATGTGAGTTTGATATCCCTGCTCCAGGACAATGTCATACAACTTACACGCTCTCAAAAGATACCTCTCTCTGGAGATTTCTCCCACTGGTATGAAAGACTTATTATTCAAGAGTTTCAATCTAAGGATATTATAGATCACCAGCCAGTTTGTGTGAGGAGCTATCATTAATAAAGGTCTACTTTTCCATGTGGTACATACATAAAATAACTCAATTTTTAAAAAGATTTAAAATGTCTTAAATGTCAGTAAAATTATGGAATGCAAACTGTAATTATCTTATTGACTGAAAACCATACAGTCTCATATTCGTACATTTGAAGGTATAGGGAAAGGATCTTTGCTTCTTTATTTACCAAAGCTTCAATGCCACTAAATTCCCATAGGCTCTAAGTGGCTTGCAGAATGCCACAACTACAAATGTAGCCTTGAACTACAAATTTAAAAAAAACCCAACAAGTAACATGCCACAACTCATGACAGTGCCATCTTGAGAAGAGACTAAATCAACACATCCTGAAGCATTTTCAAAAAGACTTAAGACTTCACAGCTGTTTGGAAACCCAATAAAGCAGAAGAGACCTGGATATCTGGAAGTAAGCTGTTTCAAAACTCAAACAAAATGGCTCGCCCTCAGGGTATACCTTGAAAGGAAAGGACCCTCAGCAAGCCCCCTCTTCCTGATCTCACTGGGTGGTCAGTTTCCGTCTGGAGAAGCCAATCTAAGGGGTAGTATCCAAGTATCCAAGCCCCAAGCCATGAAGAGCTTTAAGGATGACAATCAGCACTTTGAATAGCATCCAGGTTTAACAGGGAGATTCCTGCATTTTCTGAATCCATGAGTGCAAAAGGTTTGAAAAATGCAGGCATAAAGCCTTTGAAAATTAAGTCTTGAAATTTAAAGTTATGCATTCTGCATTTCCAAAGTTTCAAGATGTTTTCGAGCAGTATAAAAACTTTACCCATGAAAAATCAATACAAAAACAGCAATAGCTACAGAAACATTTAGCATTCCAGAAGAGAGATGTTTTACACCTTTTCTTTAAGTTATAAGTAGAATAGAATAACAGAGTTGGAAGGGAACTTAGAGGTCTTTTAGTCCAACCCCCTGCTCAGCAATGTTCCCTCTAATTTTTTTTCAGTGTGAGCAGAAAAGTATAGTGTTTGAGCAGCACATTTTCATGCCTGAGCACCTGAATTTTTTTCATAGATGTCACCCAAGACAACCAAATCAGTGTTATTTGAAACTCAATGCTCCCATGTAA